TGTGTATTTTATGCACAAATACGTGTGCATAGTTATAGGGAAAACTTGGAACTGGTTGCTTTCCATTTAGCTGGGAGTAAAATTGTATGAAACAAGTTGACCAAGATTTAGCAGAGAAACAAGTTTCCTAGACTTTAGATTCTTCATCCTGGTTAGTGAAGTGAGGGGTGGGAGCAGAATGGGAGGAGGAGGTAGAAGGGATAGAAAGAAGATCTTATAGGCATATTTCAAACTTTATTTGAAGGGTAGGAATTTGGTCTGCCCTGACCACCTTGTAATGTTGATTTTCTGGGACTTGGCCTGGGAAACATCTGGGCTCTCACTAATGCATTTTGGCTCAAGCTCCCAGGTGTACCGGGAGAGGTCCATGACTGCAAATGGTGTAAGAATTTTGCCTGGCCTTGTTGACCTGTTGTTGTTATAGAAGAGTTGAATATATAGAATCAAATTGCATTTTAAAAGAGAGAACCATGGATATTCTTTCTTTCCCTATCAAATATCCTCAGGGACAGTTTGTGTGTCCAGGAGAAACAAGGTTATTTTATTGATTGAAGATGATGTCAGAACCTGGAAGTGGTGTGATTAAAGCTTTGGGCAGGTTAGAGGTTGCAGAGTTCATACTATTTTAGTTCCTGAACATGAGACAGGGAATCATTTCCTTTCCTTTCTCTAATAAATAAATGGAATAGTGTTTTCCACTTTAAGTAACTCTTGACACGTAGATGAACATAAGTTCTTTAAGAAAAATCAGTACATTACACAGGAATCTGCACAGTCTTTTTTCTTAGGCTGATTTCTTTTCCTCTTTTAAACAGAAACAAAAATGGCCAGAGGCGGGAGAATAGGGACGATCTGTGTCCAGTTGACAGAAAGTGATTTGGGTTTTGAAAAGGATATGGAGAAGAGAGGACAAAACTAAGGGAAGAGAGTAAGACTTTGGACAAGATAAGTTTCTTCAGTGAGGAGCTGGGTGTCAGGAGAAAGCCAGTCAAAATCGGCATGAAGAATCTAAATAGTACTGCAGAAGAAATGTGTGGTGGTTTCTCTCTAGGGGCTCAAGTTTAAAAGCCTTGAGCTGTTTTCTGCATGTTTTAGCTGAAAAAAAGAGAAATGTTTTGTTCAGAATTGGACAATAGAAGCACTGGGTTATTTACCCTACCTCTGTTAACAGTCCAGCTTTGATTCTAATTAGAAGTCATTCCTCTGCACCGAAAGTAGGGGAGACACACTAAAATAATTACCTTGCAGACTGGGGACTATTTTGCTTTTGATAGTGATTATGCATTGGTCCAAAACCAGATGGAAAGACACATTTCCGTGTTTGTTCACTCTATATCTGTCCACTTTATTTTTGGCAACATTGCAAGGAAATAATGTTAAATTAATCACTTTGGTTTTGTGGATTAAAAGAAAAAAAAAAACTTGGATGTTTTGGTCAGGCTCCCAAAATACAGAGATGCTTGTGTGCTGCTTTGTATTGCCTTGCTCCTCAAATGGAGTCTCTGGTGCGGATTAAAGGCTTTCCTTTACGCAATATGAGTGAGTCATGGCTGAGGCCAGGACAGAAGATACAAATGTGGTTCATGTGCATCTCACCTAAATACAAACTTCTCGATTTTACAACCATTTTGGTTGGACCTGCAAGGGTTATCAGAGGGCCAAAGCAGAAATTAGAAATGAGGACTATCTCAATCCATGTCTATTGAGCGTTTGCATCTAGTCTCTATGAGTCTGGTAGTTTCCGTTGGCTGAGATATTGGGCCAGTGGAAGCTCTGAGAAAGCAAGTGAATGTATCTTCTGTTTGGAGAAGGGTTGTGCTATGTGCTGAGAAGGGCAATCAACTTTCCTACTCTAGTAAGACTGGATTGTAAATTCTGTGAGGACAGGAACTATGTTTTGTGTCTTTTGTATCTCTCATTGTGTTTAACATGAGTCTGGGAAAATGTCTGGAATAGTCACTATGCAATAAATATTTAATGACACAGTTGAAAAGAAGTTCTTTTTTCTTCCCGTCTGAGGCTGAAGCAATTATATCTGGAGCTTCACTGAATATTCTATTTTTTTTTTATTTTACCAAAACCTACTGTATTATGACTAACTTCCCTTCTGGGCTGTGGGGTAGTGAGACTCACTAACCTGTCCTGCTACTGATAGCAATTTAAAGTTGCATCTTAGAGGTGACAGTGAGTATGGTTTTTGTAATCATCTACCATGCCAACTCAGAATGGAAGCAGTAGCTTTCTAGAGCTGTGAGGCTAGAACAAAGCAATTTTTTTCAGTCTCAGACCTGAACATTTCTATCACCTAGAGACTGCACTCCTTTCTGAACCACAGCTGCTGGGCGTCGAGGTTTTCTTTTTGGCTCTAGTGGAGATGCTGTTAGCTACTCATTAAAAGGCGAACACATGGGAGGACAAGTCATCCCTTGGAAGAACTGATTTGGTTAACTGCTGGCCATTGGTGGCAAAATAGAAACGACGTTTTTATTTTTCCCTCCCTACCCTCCTGAACATTTCAGAGTGACCAGTGGTTGGACTCTTGCCGGCGCTTACCCTGAACAGCCTGAGTGTTAGGGGAGAGGGAATCTGCCGTTGCGGTTTCTGGAGCTGCTCATAAGCAAGAATTCCCTATCCTCATCAAGGCTTTAAGCCTAAAAGAAAGCAGAAATAGGTATGGACTATTGATGTGTATGATATGTGTGAGTGTGTGCATGTATGTGTGCAGGGTGGGGTGGGTGTGGAATGGGAGGGGGTGGTATACTCTTTGGGGTCTAGAGCAGCTCAATGTCTGGATTTTCCTACCTTGCAGAATGAGTTTGTAAGTGATTTTGCTTGAACCATACAACTTCCTGTTTCCATTTTTTTCCCTTTTTTGGTAGTCATCTCTCTTGGTAGCCATCTCTCTAGTTTCAGGCACTGAAAGAGATTTGTATGTTATACTTGTCCGCCTATCCAGAAATTCCAATTTGACAATTCAAATACAGGAGTCCTGAAGGGTCACTGGGAGAGAGGAAAATCATACTCTAAAGGCATATTGCTCAGCCTCCTGGTGTGCACAAAAGAATATGACGATTTAAAAAGGGCCTATTGGAGGGTTAACTGTGGAGCCAATATTCAACAGAACAATTGGAAGCCAGGTAGCAGAAATCATGCAAGAAGTGAAAAAAGAAGGAAGATGACCTTTTCCATCTTCCATACACATACTCTGGGTCATTCCTTGCAAAATTAAAGGAGAGGGTTACATATGTCCAGAGAGATTGGAGACTGCCCAACATAACAGAAATAAGGGACTGGGAACTTGGATTCCTGAGTTCTCATCTAGGAACCTGAGGCTGGTTAGGTGACTTTTTTTTTTTTAATTGTACTTCAGGTGAAGGCTTACAGAACAAATAGTTTCTCATGAAACAGAAGTACACATGTTGTTTTATGACATTGATTAACAACCCCACCACATATTAACCCTCTAACTTCTCAACCTTTTTTTTTTGGTGAAAATACACATAGCCAAAGATACACCATTTCAAAAATTTCTACATGCACAGTTCAGTGACATTGACTACGCTCTTCCAGTTGTGCTGTTATTCTCACTTAAGATGAAGGCTTACAGAACAAAATAGTTTCTAATTTAACAGTTGCTACAAATGTTGCCCTATGACAATGGTTAACAATCTCACAACACATCAACAATATCCTTACTCAACCCTGGGTTCCCTATCACCAGCTTCCTTGTCCCCTTCTGCCTTCTGGCCCTTGTCACTGGACTCCTGTACCTTGTTAGTCTCACTTGGTTTTTAGGTTGACTTTTTTTTCTTAAGGTTGACTTTTAATGTGAATTTTGTGTGACATTGTATCTATTCTCCATGAACATTTAAGATCCTTAGAGTGGAAGTTTCATTTTTGAACATTGGCATTTAATTGCAATACTTAGCATGACAAACATTTTGCCCAAAGATTTTATGAGTCTTTAATGAGTTTGTGTGTCTATACAATGCTGGGGGGCTGTGGGGTGGGGGTGAGGAGAAGAGAGAGATGTCACGTACTACTCATTTTTTGTATGGGAAAATGGAAGCCAAGAAAAGAGTAATCAGTTGTTTAGGTTACACTACAATTCAGTATCATGATTAGAATGTGAACCTTGAGTTGTCTTACTACTGATATCTGTTCCATTCAACCCATATTACTTCCTTAAGAAGAATTAAGGGGATATGATAATCATACCCTTTATTTTTCAATTTCTAAATGTCGTGAGAGGCACATTTCAAATGAAAGAGGGCTTCCGTTTTAAACTACTACCCACCACCTCTCCCCCAGAAAATTCAGTGATTATTCCTGGATGGCTAAAACAGAAACATTGCCAATAATAATTACCCAAGCCCTTGGCAAGGAACATCCAAAATGGACAATACAAAACTGATTTTTTAAAAAAGATATGCTTCAGAGTTTCATGAGATCAGAAAGGAAGATTTATGTCATGGAAGGGATCATCATGTCTGGTGCAAGTCAAGCTCTCTTTACCTTTTATTTATTTTAGTTATTATTTAGCATTTTATAGCTCCTCTCACATGCTGAACTGCTTTATAAATCCTTTTGTTGGGGTAACTGCTCCCCACTGCCCTGTCCCCTGCCTCCATAGCCATGTGAGTTGAATTTTTAATTGAAGAAATAGAATACAGACAGATAAACCCTATTAATAAGCACCTGGGGAAATTGTCCTTTCTGATCACCCTACTAGACTTCCCCAGGTTTCCTTAGTTCTCTTGGGACTTAAGATTGAGTATTTAACCCATGCTAAAAGTGAAAAAGTAAACATAGAGCCCTTCGGCCTCCAAGTTCCTCATTATATCAATGCTAGAGCGAGGAGTCACCAACAATTACTCTAGATTCAATTCTTTACTTTGTGTCTGCAATGGAATCCTATCCCCAAATACCCGTTTTCTTCCTCTTTAGAGGACTGATTTATCCATCAACCGGGTGTTAAGCTTCCTGTTTCCCCTTCCCAGGTCAAGGGCAGCCCAGGTGCCCAATTTCTCTCTCTCTTCACAAGGCACCACCAGCAATAGAGATGAGAAATTCTGAAGAACAACAAAGTGGAGGAACCACAGTATTGCAGCGTCTGCTACAAGAGCAGCTTCGCTATGGCAATCCTAATGAGAATCGCAACCTGCTTGCCATACACCAGCAAGCCACAGGAAATGGCCCTCCTTTCCCCAGTGGCAGTGGGAATCCAGGTCCTCAGAATGATGTGTTAAGTCCCCAAGACCACCACCAACAGCTTGTAGCTCATGCTGCTCGACAAGAACCCCAAGGGCAGGAAATCCAGTCAGAAAATGTCATCATGGAGAAGCAGCTCTCCCCTCGAATGCAGAATAATGAAGAACTCCCGACCTATGAAGAAGCCAAGGTTCAGTCCCAGTACTTTCGGGGCCAACAGCATGCCAGTGTTGGAGCTGCCTTCTATGTCACTGGAGTCACCAACCAGAAGATGAGAACTGAGGGACGTCCGTCGGTTCAGCGCCTCAATCCTGGGAAGATGCACCAAGATGAAGGACTCAGAGACCTTAAGCAGGGCCATGTCCGCTCCTTGAGTGAACGACTAATGCAGATGTCACTGGCCACCAGTGGGGTTAAGGCCCATCCACCTGTTACCAGCACGCCCCTCTCCCCACCACAACCCAATGACCTCTACAAGAATCCCACAAGTTCCAGTGAATTCTACAAGACCCAAGGGCCGCCTCCCAATCAGCATAGCCTGAAGGGCATGGAACATCGAGGCCCCCCACCAGAGTATCCCTTCAAGGGCATGCCACCCCAGTCTGTAGTGTGCAAGCCCCAAGAGCCAGGGCACTTCTATAGTGAGCATCGTCTGAACCAGCCAGGGAGAACAGAGGGGCAACTGATGAGGTATCAGCATCCCCCTGAGTATGGAGCAGCCAGGTAAGAAGAGTTCCCTTTCTGTCATTTGCTGACCTCGCCCCCAACCAGCTTCTGCTGTGTGTTGGGAATCTTAAGGGAAGGAATGGGCAGGTGTTTGGTATAATGAACTCTGGAATGCATGGCTGGCCCTTGGCTTAGTAAAGTAGCTGCCAACCTGAATTTCTAGCCTCTTTAGCCATAATTAGCACAGTACATTCCCTTGACTTTATAGGTTGAACATGGCCACAGCTGCCTAGTAGATGAACAGGAAGACAAATCTTGATTTCAGCGGGTATTCACTGTCTTGTCTCCTAGGATATTGAATGAGAGGTCAGTGCTCCTCTTCTTTTGAGGTATTAAGCCCCACGGAGCAAAAGCAAATTATCTTGGACTTTAGAACATCCTATCACTTCCATTTACATTCCTCCATAAAACTCTCATCACTTTTTTTTGCAAGCAAATCTATCTGCTTCCCATTAGTTTTAATTCTTCTGTAGAATTTCTGTGATTTTTTTAGATAAACAAACACCCAGATTCTATTGTGGAGGGAAATATATATGTGTACAGGTTTAGAATGGTCCTTGCCTTGTACTTCCTTGCAGTTCATGAAGTCTGGACTCCTTCATCTTTTTTCTGTAGAGAGTTTGTTGTCTGTCACATTTTTAAGTACCTAAGTTAAATTCACATCATATCGTAGACATTTTGGTCAGATGCTAAAATGCAGATGGAAAAACATTCCCATGACTTCTGTACCACTGGATTAGTTCAGGAAAGTGGTTTCGTATGTTCTGTTCTTCCTAAATACACCTCTTAATTATTCAGAGCCCATTGTCCCATTGCTGTATTTACCAGACCTTATGATTCTGTTTGTTGTTCCTATTGCTACTATTTGGGCCATGTGTGATCAGTAGTATTTCAGCATGAGTTGGGGAGGAGGCTGAAACCATGGGCAACAGTGATGGCAGTTATGCGTGGTATTCCTGTGCATTTACTGTGGGTAATTTTGAATGAACGTAAGTTTGAAGTCCCTGGACCTAGGCTGGCCTTTTTTCATAGGCAGTGCACAGACTACCACAGTGATCTGTCTCTTCCTCACTGATTTGGGAAAAAGCCTCTTGGCTTGAAGTTCATTGGGTTACTCAGGAGAGAAGGCAGGCAGGGAGTAGGGTACGGTGAAGGTAAGAGTATGCACCTGGCACTTCCTGGTATTTCATTTTTTCCCCCTGCAGGTCCTGGTTTTAGCTAGAAGCAATTCACTTTAGGCTCCACCCCTAACTTTGCTGGTTTAAGATTTTTTTTTTTTTTTCCTTAACTCAGGTTGATTTCCTAACCCTTTCAACCTCCTCTGTGCAGCTTTCAAAGGGCAGGAGCCTAAGTTCTGATAAGTGGCTTGGAACAGGAAATGGGGTAACAGACAGGGCCATTTAGGTTTAAATGAGAACAAGAACCCGATTCCCATCTGCCCAATGAAACGGAAGATCCAGGGAGAGGTTGGTCTGTTCGACTGCTTAGCTTAGTGGAAACCCATTCAAGCCAGCAAAATGTCAATGAAGCTGGGGGTTTTTGTTTGGCTTTTCCCATCAGTATGGAAGAGTCTGTGGGACTCCCTCCCATATGTGGATGGACTGACGTCTGTTGCTTGTGGGAGGGGAGTGTGTTGGCTGGGGTGTGGAGCAGAATCCAAAGCCCCGCTCAGCACATGGCCCACCTTCCCAGAAAAGCTATTTTCAGAACTCATTCACCAGTATTGTTCGTGATCTGAAATGACTCCCACAGTGTTTGAAGCTAGATGGAAAAGCCCTTTGATCTGCCTAAATAAATAATAAGGAGCCCAAAGAGGGATTTGTTTCTTCCCATACTGATTAAACCACCAGAGAAATTTAGCTGCATGTATTTTATAGGAAGATACTTTTTATTTTTTCTTCCCCCCTAAGTTATCTAGAGCTCTCTTTCTAACCCCCAAAAGCAGCAGAGCCCATGCTGACTGTCCTCTCTAGAGCAACAATATAATAAATTGGTTTGCTTTAACAGGTTTTCTCTCTATGAGAGAGGAGCAGGGTGCTTGGTATGCTTGATGAATAAGCAAATCGAAAACAGTCCCAATTGGGGAATGCTCTGTGTGAAGGTTGGGTCTGCTTCAGGCAAATTCTGACTGTAAAATTTTTGCAGGGCCCTGGGTGAGGGAGTGGCGCCTATGGACAAACTGTTGGCAAGGGAAGGTTGTTGAACTGCTTTCCAGAAGTGTACTGTTTAAAGTGGTGACATTTTTTTCCTCCTTTATTTCCTTTAACCAACTAGCTATACAGTTTGTGAGTACTTTTCCAAGTAACTGCTGTGAGCACCAAAGAATTAGAAGACTACGTTCTTAGTTCTTAATCCATAAATTACAGATCAAGGTGCAAAGCAAGCTCTTTGAACAAATTGCTATTAAAAACCTTTGTTTGCCTTTAGATGTGCAATGAAATGCTGGAGATTTGCTGTTAAAATGAACAAAATGTTATAAACAATTCTTTTATTACTTCATCTTCCCTATGCCCTCCTCCCCACTTAAAAAAAAAAAAAAACCATGAATGCCCAAAACTCCAGATGGGAAACAAGGCCAAGCCATCTGAAGAATTTTAAATTTCTGAATCTTTGTCCTTTTGAGTGCTGAGCCTTTTCTGGATCCTGGGTTTTTGTACATTCATCAACTGCTTTTAAATATTAAATCACTTCTTTTTATAAAGCGGTCACCTCCTTTCAGTTGTTGAGATCATGCCAGATCTGAGGTTTCTTGAAATCCTTGTTTAGTGGAATCTAAGAGTGACCTAACTCTGTAGTTCAGCGCAGAGCTGGTTGTGCAAGAGAAACAATCAGGAATTTGCAGCCCTCTCCAGGTTTCACAGGATTCACCATTGCAGAGCCTGGGAAAGGAACCGTTTCTGTGGTGAGAATAAATTGGGTTCCAAGCTGTTGGAGGCACCTGCTCTGGTATGGGTGTATGTGTGCACAGGCTTGCACATGTGTGGGCTAGGAGTGTGTGTGTGTGTATGTGTGCGTTTGAGGAAGGTGGGGGCTTTCCTGTAAGCATGGTGGCAGGGTAGAAGGTTCTGTGTCAGCTGGATGTGCTGGCTTTTACTTTCCATTTGTGTCCCCACAAGCTTTCTCTGGGAAGGAGTTTCTCTGGCTTTGGGAAGGACGCTGAATTTAGTCATGGGCCTCCTTCCTGCATGTGTGTTGTCTCTCCTTTCCCGCAGAGCACAGTGGCCCAGGTTGTCTTAGGAAGGAGCAGGATGAAGGGAGGGAAGAGGCAGGGAGGCAGGTCAGGGGCCTTCCGTGGGATCATGTGATTCTTTTGTCTGCGGCAGCTTGCTGTTCATGGTTAATGTTTCAGTGGGGAGCGATTCAAGCTGCTGTGTGGAGGAAGGACCTGGGTAGTTTGCAGCTCACCCAGCTGGGCTGCCACCGTTATTAATATTGTTATTACCATTATTATTATCATTATTTAATCTTGAGTGTATTTTGGTCCCTCTGACATCCCCCATAGCTCTCTCCCACCCCCACATTCATCTCTCCCCTCTTCTTGGGGAACTTCACACAAATGTTAATACTGTCCTGCTTTTCTTGTGGAGGCAGAATGCTGGAGCCCAGATGGAGTTCATTCACTGGAGACCATTCTTTCCTTTTGGGACCCTCTGAGCCCGAGCGCCCAACTGCCTTGGTTTGCTCAGGACAACAGTGCACATGATTTGCTTCCTTTTCCAGCCTGGGCACCTGAGGGGCAGCTGCCTTGTCTCCACTTATCTCTCGGCAGAACCCAGAGTCATGGCCTGAACCCGCATCCTGGGTGTATCTGACCCCAGAGACCTTGTGGTCTCCTCCTTCCTGAGGTGCCTCTTGTGCTGCCCAGGGTATGGTGGGGGGGGCCTTTCAGTCTCCAGGCAAGCGGTAGGCCACTTGCAGAGTCTGTTTGAGAGAGAGGCTTGCATTGCTTGATGGGTCCTGGGGAGCTGGGGGGAGAAATCCCAGTTCAGAACTAGGTGTTCAGTCTTTAAAAGAAAACACTTCCCAGGCTTCCAAATCCTGGGAACAACGAGGAAGGTTAATAATACGGTGATTCTCCCCTTAAATTTTGAGAGCTGGAAAGAACATTGAAGAGCATGAAATTTAAGCCTCTCTTTTCCACATTAGGGAGCCCTGGTGGCACAGTGTTAAAGAGTTCAGGCTGCTAACCAAAAGGTCAGCAGTTTGAATCCACCAGCCGCTCCTTGGAAACCTTATGGGGCAGTTCTGCTCTGTCCTATAGGGTTGCTGTGAGTCGGAATCAACTCGACGGCAATAGTGTTTTGGATTTTTCTGCGTTAGAGATCCAAAAGCCCCAACAAACACCAGGACATTGTATTTTAATTCTAGGGAGATTATATATATATAAACTATAATAACTCTTATTCAAAGAGGAAAGAGACCACATAGTCCATTTTACCTATGAGGAAACTGAAGATCCACGGTATGGAAAATGGGAAAAGACCCATCAAAATAAGTTTATAAACAGCCCCTGGGTTTTTGATTGGATGAATGCTTTGAGCTCTTGTAAAGAAAGGTTATATATGGTAGCAACTTAAAAACTGTAATCCTGAGTACTAGGTACATTCTTCTGTGCACAATTGTTCCCATGCGCACCTCAGTATTCAGCAATAATTTGTATTGACATATGTCTGAAATTGGATGAATGAGAGGGTAATACCAGAGGCGTAGATGGAGCTGAGGGACAGAACCTAGGGTTTGAGTGGGTTTGAGGGATCTTGTGAACATCTGGGTTACTGAGTATCCATGAGCAAGTGTTTGAAATGTTTTTGTAGCTGTAAAAAGCCCTTATAATGAGGATCTCTTCTAGGAATAGATAAAGGAACAATAATGGTAACTGGAGTGTGTGTGGGAGAGATAAGCTTCAGCATGTGGAATGCCAGTTAAAAGTTAATTGCTCCTAGTGATTTGTCCCAGTTCCACCATGAATTTTATGCAATTTAGTACAAAGATTAAATGAATATCCCATAAGTAAAATCTCTAACAAGGTCAACTTATCTCACTGGGAGGTAGATAAGAGACTCTTTGTAATTTCTTTTGAGCTTAGAAATGAGAAGAGCCCAGTATTTTTTGTAATTCATTTGTGACTTCAGGAATGAAACAGAGACTCAGGCAGATTAACTTACTTGAGCAAGCTTACAAAGCTGGTAGAATAGGGTCTCCAAACTGTCTATTGGGATCCACACCTCATGCTCTTAGACATCTTCTATTGATTGAGAAATCTCAACTTTAGGTCAAGTATTCACAGGATTTGGGAGGTATATGAGGTTAGTTAGACACAAGCTAAGGGGTGAACAAGTTTTTTGTTTTCAGTGTATACTGACAGATGTTCTTCCTAGTGGTGATGATGGTGGAAGTGATTCATCCACATACTCTGATTGATTCCCTTAATGGCAAGTAGTCTGGCATTATGGACAAGAAGGTGAGAGCAACATTAAACAATGTACCAAAGCTCTCTTTCTGAAACTGTCTGTAAGCAAAGGGCTAGGAATCTGAAAATCATTGCACGGAAATCAGTGTTTTGTGGTAGTGGAAAGTCTGAACATGGGGATCAGGAAACAAGGGCTCTACCCCGGCACTACCACGAACTCACTCTGTTATATTTGGTAGGCCATTTCCCCTCTCTGGACCTCAGTTTCCCCCTAAGTCCAATGACAGAGTTGGACTAGACTATTTAAGACCTTTTTAGCCCTTACATTTTATGATTGAGTACACCAAAAAATAATATGATAACATTGCCTGTAAAACAAAAAACCAAACCCATTGCCATCGAGTCGATTCCAACTCATAGCGACCCCATAAGGTTTCCAAGGCTGTAATTCTCTACGGAAGCAGACTGACACATCTTTCTCCTACGCAGCTGCTGGTGATTTCAAACCACCTACCTTTTGGTTAGCAGTCGATCGCTTTAACCACTGCATCACCAGGGCTCCCTCCAAATCTTGGTATTGTCACTACTAATGGGGCACCACCATTAAATCATTAATAACTATAGTCACCAAGAATTATTTGGTGTCACTAATATAATAAGTATCCACTTTATATATCCTCAAGGAATTTTTTGTGAATATATGACTGAGGGGATTCTTCAGAATACCCAAAGGGGGTTGCAGATAGCAAGATGAGGGGTGGTTTTGATGACTATTTGCTGTTTTCTTCTGTGCAAGTAGAATGCATTTTCTAAATTTAAATCTTTATGTGTGCTAGACCACATATGGAATGCCAGAAAAGAGTTAGTTTAAAATAATGAGATAAAAATTACCTTTCAGAATAATTGCTTAAAATGCTTAACTTCAGCAACGCGTATACAGGCATATGTCACTTAGATTTGTACAAGAATACCTTTGAGGTCATCTGCTTCAGTCCCCCATGAGATCACACCATTCTCTGTTAGGTCTTTCTGTCTGGTGTAGTCACAAAAAGTCAGACCTGGAAAGGATCTGTAGGGGGTCTTTGCAGAGATCGCATAGTCTAACCCTGCCTGCTCCTCATTTTACAGGTGTCCTAGGTGCCCGGAACATTCCTCATCTCACTTTCTTGTGCCCTTCTTCCCCAGTGCCTTAGTAACAAACTTAACCTGACCATGCCCTTCATGTTTTACAGGCCAACACAGGACATCTCATTGCCACTCTCAGCCAGGAACTCTCAGCCTCACAGCCCTACTTCTTCCCTCACGTCGGGGGGTTCCTTGCCCTTGCTGCAGTCTCCACCGTCCACTAGATTGTCTCCCGCCCAACACCCCTTGGTCCCAAACCAAGGAGACCACTCTGCTCACCTGCCTAGGCCACAGCAGCATTTCCTTCCTAATCAGTCTCACCAGGGAGATCATTACCGTCTCTCCCAGCCTGGCCTGAGTCAGCAACAGCAACAACAACAGCAACAACACCATCACCACCACCACCTCCAACAACAGCAGCAGCAGCAGCAGCCAGGAGAGGCCTATTCAGCTATGCCTCGGGCTCAGCAGCCATCTGCTTCTTATCAACCAATGCCAGCAGACCCTTTTGCCATTGTTTCCAGAGCCCAGCAAATGGTTGAGATCCTCTCAGATGAGAACCGGAACTTGCGGCAGGAGTTGGAAGGATGCTATGAGAAGGTGGCAAGACTACAGAAGGTAAGGCCCCCATTTTGGGATATTAAAGGCTTCTTTAAATCTTATTTGTGGGACTTGTTTAATGTAGGTATAAAAGTTTCCATTTGTGGATGCCTGCATTATTTATAGACAAGTCTTAAGGATTCTTATAACTGAGAGTTAGATATGGATCAAGCTTTGGAAAGGGCCTTCTGTCTGTCTGTCTAGGCGGAGTAATATTTTACATTTATGTGAGGAGGAAAAAAAAAAAAACCAAAAACATGTTTTATATAGTTTTCCCAGACACCATAGCCCTCAAGGAGATTTAATAGATTATTTTAGAATTCCAAAAGGCAGGGAGACTTCATCATAAGGCCAAGAAGACTGGTGATGCCTGTGTAGATGAAGGTCTTGCCAGCATTTTAAGGCTTTTCTCTTGATTACATTTTTCAAATACTGAATTTGCATCTTAAATATAAAACCATAGTTCCTAGAAAAATCTCACCAGCTGAAGTTAGAGCTCACCCTGCCTTGTTCTGGAAAAGGCTTAGAGTACTTTTCCTGGTGGGGGTTCTCAGAGTAACTCTTCAACAGCCCTCCCTTTTCCTCTTTTTGTGTTGGTCTTTCTTTGCAGCTCAAATTCAACATCTGTTCTCTTTCTCTGGTGTGTGTAGGAGGCAGGAGGGGCTTAGCACCACAGCTGGGGGACAGGTGACAGCCCTAGGCTGAGGAAGTAGAAAAAAGAGTGTGTCCCAAGTTCACATTCTTCCCTGGGCCCCTCCTGTCTCCTGCAGCTGGGACTTCAGTTCTTGAGTGCCTCAAGCGAGGAACCTTAGTTCTTGGCTTCCAGTGGCTGTTGGTGAATAGGGCTATGCCTTTGGCAGCCTCTTTGCAGCTTTTGTCATTGTGGAGCTCGTGTGGTTTGATCTCTCTACAATGTGAACTTTTCAGGGAGGTGAGGGTGAAGGTGGGGGGAGAAGGGGGGTTGCCTTGTATTGTTCAGTAACTCTGTCCTTAGGAGACACCCAGGAGTGGAAATTTCAGGGGCTTGAATGAAGCTGAGAATTTGTAAACACCAGATCTGGGTCCTAAAAGCGGGCTTATTATCAGCTAAGTATTTCTGTGTAGCAAAAAAAAAGCCTCCCCTCATCAGTTTTTCCAAATCTGGATGGGAATTGTTGGGGTGGAGAGAGAAGACTGTTTCTCCCTGGCTTCTCTCCCAATTTTGCATTTACTCCCTTTTCTCATTGTAACCACACCCCGTCTCCTCACATTGGTGCAGTAAACTAATTCTATTTACACACTAGGAGAAGATTGGCCTGGTTTCGCTGATTAAGTTAATGCTTGATACCCCCTCCCCAAACTCTATTCAAGAGGGCCCCTGCACCATCTTTGATGCCATAACTGAAGGATGAGCTCAGATCTTCTATAGGCCCTCTTTGCCAGAAGATCTATGGTGATTTTTTTTTTTTTTTTGTGAGAGTGAACCACTGGGAAAATGAGCACAGTAGGATGCTTTGTTTGTTTGGGTAAGCATACAATCAAAAGACTTCTGCTAATCACCAGTGTTGGAACACCCTAGCCTGGCAGCCAATATGGAGAAAGGTGCCTCAAATAAGCATAACTGACACAGCTTGAATGTTGGGAGAAGTGAAGACCAACCTAATGCTGTAGTGGGTTGGAGGAACAGGTGGGTAGAAAAGGAAAAGGAAAATGAGGAGTATAAGGTAGATAGATGCCAGCTAGTGCTACGGGAAAAAAAGACCCAGGACTCATGAGGGGGAATACATTGACATAGAATAAGTCAGGAAACCCACTGCCACCTTCCCTCTTCCCTGCCCCCTTCATAAACAAGACAAAACACTAGAAATGTCCTTCTGTGGCTTCTTTTCCTGGAAGGCCCTGTAGAGAGATGTGCAACTTGCCCTTTTGAAGGGAACAATCTCCTCACAGGGGGTAGGGAAAGGATTGGTACACAGCCTTGAAATAGTACTTTAAACAACTTGAGTAAAGATACTGCCTTCCAAGTGTTGTATTCTGTGGGGAAACTGGATAGCCTCACATTCTTAACGCTGCCTAGAGCAGACCAACACCAAACCTGCTCTTTCAAATGGAAATATTTATTTTCTCTCCTCGGCACTTGAATTTCATGCAAAAGCTTCATCAGGCACAGGCCTTGCAGATCTTGTCTCTAAATGCCATTCACCAGTTTTCACCTTCTGTGCTGCTATCTTGGTGCCATCTGCAAGGAGAAAAACACTTTCAAGTCTGCTCTTTTCTGTGGTGTAAGCCTCATTTGTTTGCAGGCAGTCCCATCTCAGGCATAACTTTGGGCATGGGAGCAGGTTTATTCTGAGTTGTTTGGTAACCCTACCTTTCCTTCAGTTTCCCGCTAAGGGTCTGATATGTCTCCCCATAAAATACCCTGAGCTTTGTTAAGAAGGTTTGTTGTTGTTGCTAGGTGCTGTCGTATTCGTTCTGACTCATAGCGACCCTATAGAACAGAGTAGAACTGCCCCATGGGGTTTCCAAGGAGCTGCTGGTGGATTCAAACTGCCAACCTTTTGGTTAGCAGCTGTAGCTCTTAACCACTGTGCCACCAGGGCTCCGTTAAGGAGGTAGTGGGACATTAAGAAGGAACTCAGATTACTGAACATTTTGATCAAGGACCCAATAGATGGATGCTGATCAAAGGAAGGAAAAATATGAGACAGGATTTCAAATTCTTATAGAAACCAGACTTACTGGACCCGTTATCACTAAGGGAAATGCCAAATCTGTTGCCCTGAGATAATCTTTAAGCCTTGAATCGAAACTATCCCATGAGGTCATCTTTAAAATAAACAAGTTTAGCTCAACTAGTAAAGAATGTTCGCCTTGAGCAATGTGCTCTTTTAAAGAATTATTTATATGAGATCAAATTGACAACGGTAACTCTAAAACATAGAGGAGAAGTTTAGGGGACAGAGGCTAAGTTAATGGTGGTATAACGATACGAGTAGAGAAAGCGAGATGGTGACACAATGTGAAGAATGTAACCAATGTCACTGAACTGTATATGTAGAAAATGTTGAATGGGTGTATGTTTTGGTATGTATAATTTCACCAAAAAAAAAAAAAAAAGGGATGCAGAACAGTTGCAGGAGTCAAATTTTATTTGAACATTGCTTGAGAATTGGCCGTGGGGTTTATTTGTCTTACACAAATTATATGCATATATCTCTGTGGTAACTAAATGTGCATGCAATGGAGCTATGCTGGTTATAGAGAGACTCTGGAGTCATATTTTTTACTTCCAGATTCTACCTGATTCAAAGTAAGAACCATTCTCTTTGTTGTTTTTTTTTTTCCCCTCATCTTACAAGATTTGCAAGGTGTCATGAAACACAATTCTGATCATGAATTTCTGTGCAAAAGTCTGTACTGGTTTCCCACTGACTATGGGGTAAAGTCCAACTGCCTGGCATTAGAGCCCTTTTATGATCTGACTCCAATGTGTCTATGCAGCCATATCTCACCTGCTTCCCTCTGTGTACCCCACAGTGTCCAGCCAAACTAAACTACTGGTCATTCTGGGAATGCATTTACTCACTCAGAATAGAATACCCTTCCCCTCACCTCTGCCTATTGAAATCTGACCCATCTTCCAGTATCTGATTCAAATGCCGCCTCGTCCCTGAAATTGTTGTCCACTCCCCTCACCCCCAACCAGGAATAACCTCTTCCTCCTCTGTACTTTATAAAAGTATTTCTACTTATCTTAGTAATGCATCATTTCCTATGTTATTTATTTAGATCGAAAGCTTCTTGAGGGCTAAAATAATGTCCTCATTTATATTTACATACCTCACAGTGCTTTAAAAAGTTCTTGCAAATAATAAGCCTTTGATAAATGTTTGTTAAAATCAGCTGAACTACTACATGAGACTGAGACTTAGGATTCTTAGGGTTCATCTCTGCCACTGACTTGCTCTTGGCAAGGGTACTTTAACTTTTTTCTCTGCTAAGTTGGGGAGAAGGAGCCCTGGCTGCGCAGTGGTTAAGTACTTGGATGTTGACCGAAAGGCTGGCTGTTAGAACCTACCAGCAGCTCCGCAGGAAGAAGATGTGGCAGTCTGCTTCTGCATAGATTACAGCCTTGGAAATCATATGGGGCAATTCTACTCTGTCCTATGAGGTTGTTATGAGTCGAAATTGACTTGACGCCGTGGTTTTTTTTTGTTTTTTTTATTTAAGATGGGGAGAAGAATCCTTGCTTAGGTAGATATCAGGGCAAATTGAAATAAACATGTGAAAAGCCCTTCAAATGCTCTGGAAAAAAGTTATCTACATACTTATACATTGTTAGTAATATTTTGCCATTAAGAGAACTTTTATTTAGAATTTAAAATCATAACTTTGTTTATGAAATTTACTCTATCTTACCACCTTCCCTGAAGGTAGAAAATATTTTTTTTTGTTTGTTTGTTTAACTTGAAGAAATTGAATGAAACAGTAAGTTAATTACTGAGCTTAAGGTTGAACTTAGAAATCTCGTTGAAACTTTTCTCATATGACTGTGCTGTACTTGCCTCCCGGCCATGTGTAAAGCCCTGGGAGAAGCTGTCATTGAGGATTTGCATGTATGTTTTCAGATGATCTTACCCATCAACTTCCTATTTTCACCACCATCTTTCCTTTTCTTTTAAGGTGGAGACAGAAATCCAGCGTGTCTCGGAGGCATATGAGAACCTTGTGAAGTCATCCTCCAAAAGAGAGACCCTAGAGAAAGCTATGAGAAATAAGCTTGAAGGGGAGATTCGGAGGATGCATGACTTCAACAGGGATCTGAGAGGTGAGGGAATCAATGGGCTTCTCTTTCTACTTCCAAAGAGTTGGGCAGAGCGATGAAGTGAAAGGCTGCGGAGTATAATATTAGGTTCTAAGAGATTGTCCAACCCACTGGTATGGCCAGTAAATTGCAGGGCATATACATGGCTAGGTTTTTGTGACTGTAGGAGTACTTGGTCTTAAGCTTGTACTCCCTCAAAGTGGGGAGATCCATCTGACTGTCCTTCTGAGAGATGAACTGTGTTAATCAAGCAATATCTTCCGGGACTCCGGAGCCCACCTGCTCTCTCTCCATCATTGGTGCTGCCCCTCTTCCTTTATAGGATTTGCTAAGGCAAATGCTGTACAAGCTTAAAATAGTGACATCCTCCAACTGTTATTTCTAGAACTCCCTCTTTTTAGTTTTACCTTAACATGAAAATATTGAAGATGGTGAGAAATGTTTCTTCTTTAAACCACCTTCAGCACTTTTGAAACTGATGACCTTGGGGAAGTTATTTTCTGTCTTTGGGTTTATGGTTATCTATAAAATGAGGGTTCTGGGTCACCATGAGTCGAAATCGTCTCCACACCACCGCAATGGGTTTGTTTGTGTGGGATTTTTTTTTTTTCTTACTGCTATATGCTGTCCATCGTCCTGTCAAGCTTTGACATTATATGATTCTACAGACTTGATCGCAACTTTGGTGCTCTTTTGCCTGGTTCATGAAAGACATCATATATTCAGGGATGGATTCCTTCATTGACATTTAAAATTCTGCACTTCTGTTTTGTCAGTGAAGGATGAAAGTGTTGCATACTCACCTCCTTCTTCCCCACCATGGTCTAGTTTTATTTTGGAATTCATGTTTGCAAACCTATATCTGCCACCCATTCCTACTTAACAAGGAGAAGCAGGCTTGTTTTGTAGAAAGTCGGTATTTAGAGGGCAGACAGCATGTGCTTGGAAGTTTGTGTTTGGGGCCCTGCTGATTGTCTTCAAATTCCACAGAGCGTCTAGAGACTGCCAACAAGCAGCTTGCTGAGAAGGAATATGAGGGGTCAGAGGATACCAGAAAAACCATTTCTCAGCTCTTTGCTAAAAGTAAGTATGAAAGCTTGGGGAGCAGTATTAATGTGCTGATGGGAGTGAGGTGTGTGAAAAAGTTCCACAGTTCTATTTAGCCTTCTAGAACCTGGTGGTGCAGTGGTTAAGAGCTCAGGCTGCTAACCAAAAGATCGGCAGTTCAAATCCACCAGCCACTCCTTGGAAACCTTATGGGGCAGTTCTACTCTGTCCTATAGGGTTGCTAGGAGTTGGAACTGACTCAACAGCACATAACAACAACAACAGAACAGCCAGGACTGAGTTAATGCCATCTAGAGATTCTTTTTTCTATTCAGGCACGAAGTTTGGAAGATTCTGTTATTTTCCTTCTAGGCCAAGTTGGCTGCTTCCCACAACATCTAGTCACATCAACATGGCTCCTTCTGTATTAAACCAGAGAAGTGCCTTTAAATATCTTCCATTGTCATGACTAGTTGAAGAAAAGACCTTAATAAACATGGAGTCCCTTAATGTTGAAGAGATTTTCTTAGAAAGCTCTGACTTCGTTGGCTGACTCTGGTAGAGATGGGATTAACATGAAAGATTGATAACTGGCATTTGCAATACTTAACTTGCATCCAGGGGGCCCTTAGTTAAACACCTTGCATTATATAATATTATTACGTGTTGGCAGATTGCAAGGGTAACTAGAGGGGAAACATTGCTATGACCTGATTGCAGAGTTGGAGGGCGTGGGAGAGGGCAGAACTGTGTCTTCTTCATAATAGGGTTTCCTTTGTCTGGAAATAATCCTAGGACGCTGACGATGAATTAATCCTATTCTTTATCAGTCCCTAGTGGACTCCACCCAGCTAGACAATGTCTAATTTTTTCCAATTGCCATAATAAAACCGGCAATAAAAACTGCACAGTGATTTGAATCCATAGGGAGAATTAGTTGGGGGAAAACAGATGAACTACCCTCCTTTCTAGAGATGCCCATGTTTGGTTTCTCCTACCTCTAGTCTCCCTCAGTGCAGCTCCCAGTTGTAGTAGTCCTTAGTGGGGATGTGTCAGTCCCCATCTTTGCTGTGCCTCCAAGTGACCCTTTCAAGTCATTCCATGAAGCGTCCAGTCAGCTTTTATAAGTGTGTTTGATCTTCACTTACAATATTGCCCTCTCATCCTGGGCTGCTCTGTTGTGCTTTGGCTTCAGAACTGGGTTTTTTTTTTTTTTTGTTTCTGTTTTTCCCTTCCTCTTTCCCTGATCCTCTTGTTCCTTTGTCAGTATATCTTAGAGGAAGGAATGTAGTTTTTCTGGTGTCATCAGTGACTTGTGTAAACTGCTTGGTGGTGAAGTTGCTTTTGTGGTGTCACGGTTACCCTGGAAGCCAGTTCACTGGTGGAGAGAGGGTGGCAACCTCCCAAGACAAGACAAAACAAAACAAAACAAAATAAAATAAAATACATAGATTCTTGCCCTGAATCTGCTAGTTCACACTCCACTCTGTGTGGGGATGGTATTTGAGGTGTCCTAGGAAGTCTGCTACTGGTTTATAAAATGTGGTAATTTAGTAGATCAAACTACATTAACAGCAGGAGGAAAGACTATCAAATGGCCTAAGAAGGGAAAAGTGAACTCCATCAACTAGACAGAGAAGAGGGCATGATTCTTGGCCTCCTTAATTTCTTTTGCCTTTGGGCATTGGCAGGGCCTTGCATGGTGGGAACTGGGACAGGAGAAAAGAAATCCCTCTTGAAAAGCCTTCCTAGGGAATGTGCCCCAGCAATCCTAAAGAGACCAAATCAACTCCACCCTAGGAGAAGGCAGCCTGGTATAGTAGAAAGAATTTAGAGCAACGTGGGTTTAAATATGGCCTCCACAACTTATTTACCAATTTTGGGCCCTGTGCAAGTTACTTAACCTCTCCAAGTCTCTGTTTTCTCATATGCAAAATGGAGAAGAGAAGAATGCCTTCCTTGTATGGTTGTTCTGAGGATTAAGTGTGATAAATATCCTAAAGCATTCAGTACAATACCTGATATGCAACAAGTATTCAACAAATGTTTGTTTCTTTGCAAGATATATCTGAATATATATGTAAATTCAGAGTGGGAAGGAAGATGAGGCTGCCCTATTATAATTTCTTCTAAAAACTTAAGTATCTACTTCTCCACAGGGCACTTTACCTCCAAATCGGAATCAACTACTGGTTTGAGTTGTTGGTATGAAGTCTGTCCTAGTTAAAATGAGAGAGCGTTAGAAAGGCATGGTCACCTGTAGCTATAAGAATTCAGAAAGAATTGCTAATTCTATAAGTCTGGTGAGTCATCATTCCCTTTATTTATCTATTAAATTAGATAACAGATTACTTAAATGATGGGCACATTAGAAAGCACAATCAAACACCACAGGAAATTGCTAAATAAATAAATAAAGAGAATGATAATGATGGTGGATCACAGTCATGATTAATGATAGAGAATCCGTAGCTCCAGACTATGCCTTTCTTTGTGATCTGACAGATTCTGTATACTAGTTTTTAGAATAAGTTTGCGACTCACCAGACCTATAGAATTAGCAATTCTTTCTTTCTGAATTCAGGATTGTCTTATAGTTACAGGTGACCATGCGTTTCTAGCTCCCTCGCATGCTATCTAATTTGGAGCCCTGGTGGCACCGTGGTTAAGAGTTCGGCTGCTAACCAAAGAAAGATCAGCAGTTAGAATCCACCAGCGGCTTCTTGGAAACCCTATGGGACAGTTCTACTCTACGAGTTTGGTTCTTTTTTTTTTTTGGTTATCTCATGTGATCCTTTAAAAATATTGTGAGGTTAAATAGCATGGTATTCCTATCTGGATTTTAAAAGAAGGGAAATACAGACATGGTTGGAGATTAGATTAACTGACTTGTTCATGTCAACCCCAAGTCAAGATAGGGCAGGGGACTTGAACCATAGTCTTGTATAAACTTCTCAGAACAGATTCAGGAATGTGGTATTAAACCATCCTTACATGCCTGAGATAAACACCATTTCATTACAGTATATTATCTCTCCTGGTACATATTTTGGCAGATTATATATTCCCAGAGAAGGGGAAATAAAAAAAAACTTCATCCAGGAGTTCAATTTTATCTGAATAGAATTTTTCAAAGAACGCTCTACTTCTGTGACTCTTTTCCCCTATTCAATTCTAATTCATTTATCCTTCTGCTTTTTTTTTTTTTGCTTGATTAGACTCCCTAGTGGTTTATCTATTTCATTTTTCTCTATGCACGTTTGTGATCTCCCCCCGCCAAAGGAAAAAAAATAGCTCTTAAATAAATTCAGGGTTATGAACAGGACTTCATAGAGAGGAATTTCCTCTGTAGAATTTTTTTTTAATTAATAAAAGAGGCAGAATCAATAAGGGGTAGCCTACTCATGGTGTTGTGTTATTTTTTAATTATTTTCAAAAGCATTTTATTTTGAACATTGATCTGGATTAGTTTTGATCAAGCTGCTTGGTACAGAGTTTATTGGGCACTTTCATCATCTTGCCTTTTGCCTTGGAGCAAGGTATAGGGCCTTCCTTTCTGCTTCATAACATGCAAAAATCAGCTATAGAGAATAAATGAGGGTGTTGGTGGAGGAATCCTACATCCTCTATAGACCTTCTGTCTACCTTTCCCTAGGAAGCTGAAGAGTGTAGATACTGTCTTTAGAGAAGTCTGTGAAAAGGCCACGGGAGTCTTCAGTGTGTAGGTGTATGTGTGTGGGGGTGTATAGATAACTGCAAATGATACGTTTTTATGTCTTTGTTGACTTCTGGTAGCATTTATGACTGTGAGTAGAATGATACTTTATTCATTGAACATCAACAGAACTTTTAGTTCCCTAGCTCAGAGGTACTCTAAATCTTGATAGGAGGCATGAATCCAAAGAGTTGAGCTCAGTCCCAATTTAGACAGCTGATCATTTCACACATATTCACACCAGGTTGTTATTAGGACTGGTTAACCTGTTTGGGTAAGGCTTTATAGGTCTAATGGCTCCACTTTAATTTTAGGCCCATGATAAGTTTCATCCTGCTTGTGAATGTGATTTAACAAGTAAGCTAATTAGGATAGACTTCATCAGGGGCCCATCTAACACAGGCACCAAAAACTAGGACCAAGCAATGGAATGTTTAAGTGATAGTTTGGAACGAATGAGGAATACCTCACTGGGAGTCAGTTGTAATCATTTTAGGTGGAATATTCAAATGTTCTGATCATCTATGGGTACTGAAACAAGGTAGATTCACTATTACTAGGGTAGATTGAGATAAAAATAGTATATGGACCAAGGTGTCAAATCTATTGAGAGACCATTTGTAAATCTGTATTAACTTTTTCAAATGCTAACTTGCTATACCATTCCTCTATTCTGGAAATTACAGACTGGCTGCTGGCCCATATTAGTGCTTTATTCCTCTACCCTTCTCATATCCATCCACAGATATTTTTTGAGTCCTCATTATATAGGTGCTGCTTAACTGAGGTCTCTATAAAAGCCAAGCCAGAAAGACTACTTTCTACTGCCCACTAAGCCCTTCCATTCTAAAGTCATAGACCATATATAGAGAGCGAGAGCCCTGGTGGCGCAACAGCTAAGTGCTCAGCTGCTAACCGAAAGGTTGGTGGTTCAAACCCACACAGAGGTTACTTGAGAGAAAGACCTGGTGATCTGCTTCCTTAAAGATTACAGCCAAGAAAACCCTATGGAGTAGTTCTCTTCTGTCACATGGGGTTGCTCTGAGTCGAAAATCTACTTGACAGCACCTAACAACAATAACACACACACACAGACACTAAGCACACACACTAAGCACACAAACATATCAGACTGCCTTTTTTAAAACATTAAACTTTCACATTCTATTAGGCTTAACTCTGCTAGTTCAGCAGAAAAGGAGATTCCCAAGTAGAACACTTTTTTTTTTTTTCAGGTGAAATAGCTGCCTGTATTTCTCTGATCCTGCTATTTTCCCCTGTGACTCTGCCCTGTTCTTTCCAGTGCTCCTCCCACACCCAGCCTCTCCTGCAGGGGAAGGAGTAGGGAGAAGCCTAAACATGACTTTCATTTTTATGTCGTACTCATTTTAAAGGCATTGAGTTCCCAAGAGAAGCAGATTCTGAGATAAAGGGGGTGGGTTAGGGGGTGGTGTTGAGCTAGGCTTTCCCTGGAGAGGTTGTTGTTGTTGTTAGGTGCCATCAAGTTGGTTCCGACTCACAGTGACCCTATGCACCACAGAACAAAACACTGCCCTGGAGAGGAGGTGCTGTCTAATAGACTTGATCTCAGTTAGGAAATAATGTCGCTGTGTAAAGGATGGGGTTTTCAGTTTTATACGTTCTACTAAATACCATTTTTAGATCTATTTAATATATTGTCAACATGAAACAATGGAGTAAACTTCTTTGGGCTCAGTTGCTTTTTTTTATTCCAATGCAAGACTGTTTTGAAGAAATAAAATTGATGTGACAAGTCTACTTTCTCTTCTAATATACATAACAAAAAAAAAACCTCGTTGCCCTCAGGTTAGTAACCCTATAGAACAGAGTAGAACTGCCCATAGGGTTTCCAAGGAGTGGCTGGTGGATTTGAACTGCCGACCTTTTAGTTAGCGGCTGAGCTCTTAACTACTAAGCCACCAGGGCTCTGATATACATATACATTATATATAATATGTATATTATATGTATATATTCCTTTGTGTAATGATGCTTAATATACTTTTCGTAATACTTTTTACTTCTGCTTTCTCATTGCTTGTACACAACAACCATTGTTAAGTGACTTTTCTGAATTTACATAGCAAGTTAGTGACAGAGCCATTAACACAAGCCACTAACAAAAGCCATTATTTGCAAGATCTGATAGAGCCCAGATCTTGGGTATCCTGGTTCTTTTAGCAGTCTACTAGAAAAGTAGAACTTTTAGTAGTGGCATATTTGTCAGTTTTACTCAGTTAAGGCTTTGAGCCTCCACCAGGATGGCCATATTGATATTTCATGTCCTGATAGATAAAGAAAATCAGCGGGAGAAGGAGAAGCTGGAAGCCGAGCTGGCCACTGCCCGTTCTACCAACGAGGACCAAAGGCGACACATTGAAATCCGAGACCAGGCCCTGAGCAACGCCCAGGCCAAGGTGGTGAAGCTGGAGGAAGAGGTATGGTGTCTTCAGGTCACAAATGAGCATGGAAGGTGGGAGAGCCAGAAATCACAGGCACTGGACTCCCCATTTTGGTGAACTGGCAGCTGTACAACTCCCCACCAGGAAGGTGCCATCTGATGCTTCTGGTTACAGCTGCGCTGATGTGAGGGACTAGATTTCTTTTCTCTTTCCTTCAAGTTCCTTTTCTCTAGAGCAGGAAATCACCAGAGTCAAGGAGTGATTTCTATTTGCTCATTCATATAATAAGCTCCTCTACCAACCCAGTACTCACTGTGTACCTAGCACAGCCTTAAGCCTATAGCAGCCATTAAAAAAAAAATGCTTGCTTTTATAGGACTTTTAAGCTTTATTTTGGAATAGCAACAAAATGATCCCAGATACTTTAAAGTACTCTAAGGATTTTGAAATCAGAATGGTCTTTGTCTCCCCATGCTTGGTGGGAAGTCAGTCTCCTCCCAGGTAAAAGATGAGCTGTTGGATTTATTTTACAAGTTGGTTTTGGAATAGAAGCAGTCTTGGTAGGCTGGGGACAGGTTCGGACCCAGGAACAATTTACAGTTTATGTCAGGACAGTGCATTGGCCAAGAACTGTGCCCTGGCTCTTAGTGGTTAGGTTCTGGCATGTAGTTTTGTGGTGAAGTGAAGTAGTTACTTGTGTGCAAGGATGGAGCCTTCCTCTAGCAAGTGCTAGGACCCCCAAATTATTAAGCATATGATGAATATATATCTGATTGGTCTTGATGTAGATTTTATGCGATTGCAACACTAAACTGTGTTCATGTAAAATAGAAGGAACTCTTGCTTCTGGCTTATTAATCTTGGATGTCAGTTGTCATTGTTCTGCAGGAGTATAAGGATAGAAACTGCTCTTAGATGTTTTGCACTTCAGGGAATGGGTGTGTTCAAGCAAAAACTGATGCTAAAGTGTAACTTGGTAAAGAAAATGTCACATCTCACTGACTTCTATTCTAAAATTTGAGTTGTGTTAAGGGAAAAAAATATAGCCACATTATAACAAGTGGAAAGTGTTTAAACTTGAGACAAAAAAAAAAAGCCCTTCTGAACAAACCCTCAGCATTCTGGCAATTGTATGTGAGGTATCTTGCCTACCTTCATTCATTGTCTGCTTCTCTTCCCTAAGTAAGAATAGTTTTAATTCCTGGAGATCTCTTGACTTAAAGGTATCCATTCCTTTCTTTTTTGGGTATAAAAATGCTTGTTGAGCTGGCTGTGGGTTCATATTTTACCAGTAGGTAATGCTATCTAAACCACGATGCCCTTTTTCCTGAATCATTTAAGTGTTAAACTTCAGATTGTGTAAAATTAGGTTCAAGTACTGCTTCATCAGTTGTCTATATCAGAAATGCATTATTGAAGATGAGGAGTACTTATATTTGCCCAATGTCCAAATCTAAAGAAATTAGCATACCCTTTAGGCTTTTGATATGCCTCATATATTCCCTTTCCTTCCCTTGTTGCTAGAGAATTACAGATTAAGTTACAAGACTTGGATAAGACTGTGATCTTTTAGAGAAGGGAAAACTGAGAGGCCCATGGAGAAGGAGCAGCTTGCTGGTGGTCACATGGCAAGTCTTGGGTAGAGCCAGGAATAAAACTGGAATCTCATGACTCTTCATTCCCTAGATCCTGCTGCCTGCCTTCCTGTCTGAATCATCCTTTGGTTCAACTCCCAAAAAGAAAATGTGGGCGCTTGTTCAGATTTAGTAACCTCTGCATCTCTTAATTTAAAAAAAGGGCCCCTCTTTTCAGCAGACTTAAAAACTTGCTCAGAATGTTTTGAGATTGGGATGTCTGTATAGCCCAGTTGCCCCTCCGGAAGGGTGTCTGTCCAGTTGGAGATCAACGAGGGGAAAAAGCTCTGCAACCATCTTGGTTTGCAGTGACTGAGAGCACAGTGGTTACTGGTTGTTAATCATGAAAATAAATATATTCTCTATGGAGATGATGTTGATCTGTAGTTCCCACTAGGCAGCCCTCACTGAAAGAATTGCCTGAAATATACTCTGGCTTCAGACTTCGGAGGCTTTTCTGGGCATTTGCTCCAGAGATTTTTAGTAGCTTTCCAGGAGCTGGCCCTAAAATAAATAGATTTACAGTTTAAAGAGGAAGTTCTAAATATCAAGCTAGTATTGAATGATGGCGTCTAGTGGCCAGATATGTCAACTGAGCTCATCAGTTATCATTAAGTTTTTAATCCTTTTCACATGGAGTTTTAATTGTTTTGAAATTCTGAGTTGCTATTGCTAAAGAAGGTGGGGCATTTTCTTGGGAGAGCAGGTTCACAGCTTGAGGCGTGTGTACGTATGCTTGCAAGTGTTTTGCTTCCTGTACTTCCTTTGCTTTCTACCTGCAGAATCTCAGAGGCCATGTAATGCCTTCCAGACTCTCAAGCCAGATCACCTCTAGCGCATCTAAAGGCTGGAAACCTTCTTTCATTGAAAATTGACTGATGCTTATTTTCCTTATTTTAGCAGCCTGGCAGAGCTGGGTTTGCTCCTGGGTGGTGTTTGCCCTGTCTCCCCTATAATGTTTAAAGGAGACCATGCCTTTTCCTTATCCTCAAATGTAGGCATTGCTCATTTAAATTTTGCTTTTCTGCTATGGCCATTAGGCCTCACTCTTCCTTGAGTAAAATTTCTAATTGTAGAACATTAGTGAGATATTTAAAGTGAATGGGTAGCTCTGGAACTGATCTAGTTAAGAAGTCTTCATTGTTATTCTTTCACAAAATCAGTGAACATTTATAAACCAAGAAAGGTGTACATGAATGGAAAAGTTAACCCATCTAGTGGAGATGGCTCAACTAAGGTCATAGTTGAAGGCAAAGGGATATGTTAGATGACCTACCTATCTCTTGTATAAGGAGATGATTATTTAGTTACAGATTATAAATGGTACCACATTTTTTTTCCTTTTTTCTCAGAACTTAGTTCTTCTAGGGGAAACCTCTCTAGTCTACTTGAAGCAAATCAGAGTTAGAGAAACCTTCCCAAATTGGGCCTTTTATTTAGGAATTATTTTCTCAGCCTACTAAATTCAGGGTCACTTAGGTAACTATTTCTCATTGTATCAAGATGGTCAGGGAAAGAGACTACGGCTACTCAAATGGTCTGAGGATCCTTGCGTGCGATTGTCTTTCTCTCTACAAAGTCTTCATTTAGACTTCTTTTTCTGAAATCCATTCCATCTTTCCAATCCCATTAAGTCTCTTTCCCATGATACTCTACAATCACTCTGCTCTAAGCTCTATACTGCAGTGGTACTTCAGGCTTACAGAAAACTTTCTCCTGCAATCACAAATTGCATCCTTTTCCAAGTTCAGCATAGATGCTTTCATGGACCCTACTCTGCTGACATCCAAGGGATCTTACTGGGAAGGGGAGAGCAATCTAGCTAAAAAGCAGACTGGTTTTCTTGGTGAGTCACTAGGTTCCAGGCCTTGATCTGCAGCCTATGCATGAGACAGCCAGCTGAGGTAAACGGTGCCTTTCCATCCTTACCCTTATCTTTCGGGACACGTAGGTCCTATTGAAGTGGAGGCTCATTAAATTCCAAGTCAAAAGAACTCTCTGTTCTGCAGCAATCATGGCATTCTCCCATTCAAAGAGAGCCCCCCCGCTTCATCCCCCACCAATTTGACCTCACTGGAAGTTTCGACAGATGCCTGGCATATCCACTCACAAGGCTCAAGGCAGCCCAGGCTTCTAGCTGGCTGCTGTCTTATGATGATCCAGAGCTGAGCCATTGCTTGGGTAATGTTTAAGGGTTGGTGGGAAAAAGGCCTTGGCAAGATCAAAGAAGGAGGATGCTGTGGGTGGGCTGCTTACTGAGTGGAGTGCACAGGAAGGGGCAGAGTGGAATGTGGGAAGGCTGGCAGAAAGTGCCAGTGAGCCTTGTTATTTTCCAGAGAAACTCAGGAAAAAGGGACTTAGTTAATTAACTTTTTCTGAACTGAAATGGCTGGTGATGATTTAGACATCACATCGATAGCTCTTGTTGGGGAACCCAGAGAGTTTTCCAGGGTTATGTTGCCACTCCACTCAATTTTCCAAAAGTAAATTCATATTGTTTCACTCCATTTCCACTCTTCTTCTTTGAGGCTGACATTTTCCCTTCTTTAAAGATCCCATGTGACTTGTTTGTCTTCTTGATTTTAAAGATGAATGATTTTCTGCTACTGTACCTCTCCACAAAGAATTATAACCAGTCTTCTCCTTTCCCCATATTAGAGGAAGGTGGCCTAGGTGTTGTTGTTGTTAGGTGCCGACGAGTCAGTTCTGATTCATGGCGACCCTGTGTACAACAGAACGAAACGCTGTCCGGTCCTGTGCCATCCTCACAATCATGTCTATGTTTGAGCCCATTGTTGCAGCCACTGTGTCAATCCATCCCATTGAAGGTCTTCCTCTTATTCGCTGACCCACCATCTCACCCAGCATGATATCCTTCTCCAGGGACTGGTCCCTCCTGATAACATGTCCGAAGTACATGAGACAAATTCTTGCCGTCCTTGCTTCTAAGGAGCATTCTGGCTGTACTTCTTCTAAGACAGACTTGTTAGTTCTTCTGGCAGTCCATGATATATTCAGTATTCTTCAGCAACACTGTAATTCAAAGGCATCAACTCTTCTTTAGTCTTCCTTATTCATTGCCTAGTTTTTGCACGTGTATGAGGCGATTGAAAATACCATGGCTTGAGTCAGGCACACCTTAGTCCTTAAAGTGACGTCTTTGTTTTTTAACACTTTAAAGAGGTCCTTTGCAGCAGACTTGCCCAGTGTAATACGTTGTTTGATTTTTGACTGCTGCTTCCATGGGCGTTGGTTGTGGATCCAAGTAAAATGAAATCCCTAGGTGTAGAAATGTATATGTCTAATGTTTCAAAATGATTTTAAAAGAACAATAGGATTTTGTAGGTGTAGATAAAACTCACACGATGGTTATGATAGATCATAAATTTGGATGGAAAATCT